TTAAACTCACTTTGTACTTGAGGCAGGCTTTGAACTCATGGTCCTCCTGCCTCCGTCTCCACACCCAGCCTGTTCTTTACTGTTTTCTGCTAGGTCAGCTCTGTAGGTCAGTATTCTGAACCCAACCTGTGGCAGCTTATAATGCGTGCTGTCCATCCCTGGATGTCTCCATTTTGAGACATCTCAAATACGAAACCCAACGATTTTCTCCCTTACATCAAGGGTAAAACCTTGGTATCTTTTTCTCACAGACATCAGATAATCTAGTTGACTCAATTTAAGCAGATTCCAATGTCAGCTGTTTATTTAATTCCACAGGCACCCCTTGCCAGCCAACAGTAGTAAGACTACTGTTGTTACCGCCGGGCTGGCCTTTCCATCCCCACCCTAACCATCCCCTCTATGGGGAAAGTCCCTTGGGAAAGTACCCAACCGTCTTCTAGAAACTCAGGGTCGAAACGATGCTCCAGCTAACTACCCGTTTTTGGCTCCTGTTAAACCGCATGCTCTTAACTAACTCCTCAGCCATCTCTACAGCCCGAGACAGTCATCTAAAACACAGGAATGAGAACACCGAAAGTTTTGGATACCACCTCTTACAACAACAGGTCCTGGATCTCTGGACGAGAACCTGGGTGGGTGGGTGGGTACCCTCCCCTCTCCTCAGTGGAGCGACCAGCTCTATGGGAACCCAGGGGGCTGGACAGGTCCTAACGGATTGGGTGTGGTGCCAGTGGAGGCTCTCGGTCTCCCTAACCTGGAAATCCACCTAAGGCTCGGAGACTCGAGCCCCTTGGTGCAGGTGGCAGAGGAGGAAAGACCCAGGCCCTGAAGGGCTGACATGCTAGTTAGCGTTGGGTTACACTACGTGCGAGCATTCTGTCTGAGCCTTCCAGCGCAGCACCAGGGGGTAGGAGAGGCTGCACGAGGAACGTGCCACAGGTCGGAACACCTTGGCCACATGGGGACCGGGGGGTCCCTCCCGGTCCACTGCCGCGCTCCGGATTTGAACCCGATCTCTGTCTGAGGTCTCATTGGCTCGGGGTCCTCAGACAGTGCCGCACTGTTTCCCAGAAACCATCAGGGCGCCGCTTGGTGGTTGCCACGGTGATCGTGAAGCAAAAGGCGCCGCGTCGGTGATCACGCGACGCGTACTACAACTCCCAGAAACCTCTCCGCTGGGCGGGCCAAAGGGACGCTGGGCCAACGACGGGCTGGGACCCGCCTCTTCGGCCGCGCTGGGTGTCGTCAGGGGGTTGCGGCCAGGAAGACCCGGGGGTCGCGGAGACCGGAGCGGAGGAGACAGCGCCCAGGACGTTTTGCCTCCGTGGCATCAGCGCACGCCCTTCCCCACAGCCCCGATGTCGTCTGGCCACCCAACGATCGCCTGTGGCGTGTGTCAGCTCGGGAAGACAACAGCTCTAACTAACTAAGGCCATTAGCGTCGCCCGGCCATTTCCCGGCTGGCTGCTTCTTGCCGGTCCTGCTGACGCGCCTGGGGACTCTGAAACCTTGTTTCTTTTACAGTGACGCCGTGCTCCCCACCTGTACAACTGCGCAACTGTACAGGTGGCTCCCACTACACTTGTTACGGTCTGTCGTGGGACGAATCAGCCTCGCAAAGCACTTGGTCTTCCTTAGGAATCTCTGCCTTCGCATTTCAGACTAGGAAAAGAGAGGAAACGTGCAAGCTACGGCCAGAGAGGGTCGGTCCGTCCCTGTGAATCCAACCCGGGTGTGGAGGGCTGTCGGAGTGGGCTGTGCTCCCTCGACCCGACACCCAGGAGAGCCTTTTTAGCGTTCCTGGCCCAATTCGGATATTGTTCCCTGATTCCCTGATTCCCGAGTTCTAACTGGCGTTGTCCAAGTCGCTTTGTCTACTTTACCCCTTATACTTCAGGTCTTCTGTCCTTGGCTTCCACGTAGCATGTCTTGAGCTGATATACCCTTAGTTATTGAAAACTGGTTCTGTGAGACAGGCTTCTTCTCTCTGAAAGACCTGTTCCTCCCCCACCCCCCCATCGCACAGCATTTAATGCCAACTTGTGCTCCAGTCTCCGCTTGTGCTCACTGGGTGGCATCCATGGAGAGAGGCGTTTCCAGCAGGATGCCAGAAGAGCCCATACTGTCTGTCACCTGCTGCCCTTTGACGTTTGATCTTTTCGGGAGAGGAAGTGCCATTACTGTTTGATGCGGCCTGCACTTTTGGGGACAGCAAGCACCTGTGTTGATGTCTAGTCTCCGCACCCTTGCCTGTACAATGCCCTGCGAAGGGCTACCTTTACAAAGTCTTGCTTCTTCCTGTACTGTCCTCTTCCAACAGTCCTCTCTGACTGCCTGGCTTTGTAGAACATGGTGTCTTTTTACCGCACTTGTGTCCCAGTAACTGTGGTCAAGGTTGGCACCAGCCAACTTCCAACTTGTCCTTAGAAACGCGTGTCACAGATGCTCTAAGCACCTCACTCAGAAACTCTCTCCTGTCTCCAATCCGATAACAACCTATTGCTCTTAGAACCTGGCCCTTCTCAGTTCCCTCAGGGTTTCTCTCCAGGAAACCCATATCTGGGAGGCAGAAGCAGGAGGATCTCTGAGTTCCAGGCCAGCCTGATCTACAGAGTGAGTTCCAGAACAGCCAGGGCTACACAAAGAAACCCTGTCTCTAAAACCGAACCAAAACAAAACAAAACAAAACAAAAAAAAAAAAAAAATCCCAGAGAGACAGGTTTAATCATAAAAAGCAATGAGCCTAGTTTTTCTTCACTATAAGATGGCTTTTAAACCTAAAATGGAGCAGGCTGGTTCTTCCCCTATTGTGTTTTCATTTTTTAATATTTAATTTTTTATTTATGTGTATATAAGATGTGCCTGCATGTGTTTATATATTACATATATGCAGATGTACTTGGAGCCAGAGGGTGTTAGATCCCTTGAAAATGGAACTACAGGTAGTTGGGAGAAGCCTGATGTGAGTGTTGTAAACCAAACCCGGCTCCTCTGCACGATCAGTAAGTGTCAAGCCATCTCTCCAACTGCTTGTTTTGATTTTTGAGACAGGGTCTCACTATTTAGCTCTGGCTGGCCTGGAAATATTTCATAGACCGGGCTGACCTGGAACTCACAGAGGTGAGCTTCCCTCTGGCGTGTTGGGATTAAAGGCTTGTACCACCACAGTCAACCACCTCTTTCCTTAAAGAAAATATTTGATTGCCTGTATTTATTTTGGATGGGAATGGCTGTGGGCTATGGTGCTATGTACAAGTTAGAGGACAATTTGTGGGAGTCAGTTCTCCTCTTCTACCTGGGGATGGAACTCAGGTTGTCAGGCTTGGTGACAAGTACTTTCCTTGCTGAACCATCCCACGGGTCACTTTCTTCTTTTGGAGACAGGGTCCCATGTAGTCAACTCACTGTGTGTAGTCAAAAATGACGTTGAATAGATTCACCTCAGTCTTTCTCCAAAGTACTGGGATTATAAGCATGTGCTACCACATCTGGCTCCTTTTTCTTCTCTCTCTCTCTGTGTGTGTGTGTGTGCACACGCACGCGCGCGCGTGTGTGTCAGACTTATTCTATAGTCCTCTATAGTCCAGACTGGCCTCAAATTATCCCCTTGGTGTATTCTTCTAACTTCTGGAATTGGTGTTGTAGCCCAGATGCCCTTGAACCCTGACCCTTCTGCCTCTACCTCCCAACTACTAGAAATCCAGGTGCCAACACATCCAGCTCTTAACCCATGCTGTTTGAGAGCCCACTGTTGAACAAAAGACCCAAGGGCCCTTTGTTTATTATTTATCGTGTATATAATGTTTTATCTGCATCCAGAAGAAGGCAACAGATCTCATTACCGACATTTGTGAGTCACCATGTGGTTGCTGGGAATTGAACTCAGGACCTCTGGTCCAGCAGCCAGTGCTCTTAACCACTGAGCCATCTCTCCAGCCCAACCCTTCTTTATTTTGGGAGACAAGCATATGTAGAATTAAAGAACTCTAAACACCAGGAAAATAATCCTAAAACAAGCTTCATCTCGTGGTGCAATACGGGGTGTGTGTGTGTGTGTGTGTGTGTGTGTGTGTGTTCAAAAACCCTTTACTGTTCTTCCACAACAATCCACACTGAGACAGCCCTGCCTCTCCAAAATAGTATGTGTCACAAACACTTAAATTGAACCCAAGGGAATGAAGAATCAATATTGTGATGTGTGGGGAAAGGCAAGGACTATGTGGCCTGCGGACAAGCAGCCTAAGTGTAGGAGAATAACAGTTGATCTGTGCGAGGATCTGAAAATAAGAGATAGCAGACCTGACCTTGACTCTTTTTTCCTTTTAACTTTTAGTTTGGTTTTTTTAATCAACACACAGTGTAGTAGATTTCATTGTGATATTTTTGTGGTTTGCTTATTTCACATCAGTTTCTCTGTGTAAAAACTCAGGCTGTCCTGGAGTTTGCTCTGTACACCACCGAGTCATCTCTCCAGCATACACACACACACACCAACAACACCACAATTTTCCGTTTTGCTTTGTTATTTTAGATTTTGTTTGTGTTTTCAAGACAAGTTTTCTCTCAGCGTAACAACCCTGGCTGTCCTGGAACTCGTTCTGTAGATTGGCCCTGAACTCACAAACATTCGCTCTGCCTCCCAAGTGCTGAGACTGAAGGAGTAAACTACCATGCCTGCTGCTGCTCTGCCACTCAAGGCGCGGTTCCTATTAGGTTTTTTTTTTTTTTTTTTTTTTTTTTTTTCCTTGGGTGCCCTGCTTAGTGTCGCCTGCCTCCGGAAACCGCGAAGTTCCCACTTCTGCATCTCTAGCTTTTTTTGGTCCAGGGCCGCCTACCGGTCTCGGAACGTACCCAGGAGACCCTGCTGATGCTCGGGCCCCGTCCAAACCTGACGGTGGTCGGTCGTAAACCTCTTTCCAGCACTCCGCCGGGGTTGGGAGAGTCGGGGGAAAGACGCTTGGCCGTGGCCATGGTTACTGGGAAGGCACCGCCTGTCATTCAGGCAAGCCAGCAGGAACTACGTTTACCCCAGCATCGGTATTGTGCACTGGCCAAGGCGAGCCGGGGAGGCGGGGCTTCCGGCGGTCTAGTTGTCAGTTTGCAGACCGGCCTCGGGCCACACGGGTGATCCCGATTGGCGCGCGAGGGACCCGGCCGATTCTGCATTCTCCAAGAGGTTCTGGGGACCCAAGACTAGGGCAAGCGAGGACGCTCCTCGCAGCTGCCCGCTTCGGGCCGTGGCTCAGCACCCACCCGTCGGCTCTGCAAGTCGGCGGCCCCTCCTCCGAGCCTCAGTTTCCCCGGTTGACTCGTATGTGACGGTTGACACCGTTGGGACCGTTCCCGGAGCCACGTATTCTCCATCCCCCCAGCCTCAGTCCTTCGGCGGCGCTCTGGGCGTACAACGCCCTTGCCTAACCGGGAAACTGAGGCCCCGGCGGGCTGCGCGAGGCCGTGGGCGGGGACGGGCTAGGCCCGGGTCTCCCGCCCGCCGTGCCCCGCCCCCATGGCAGATTCGAACCGCGGCGACCTGGCCCCTGACAGATGCAGCGCCGGTGAGTGTAGGGATCCTTCCGTGGGCCAACCAGGCGTCCTGGCTTGCCCTCTTGCTGTTGTTTCCAGCAGCCCAGGTCAGTGAGGCTGGCCGGTGTGGAAGGCTCGTATGTGATAGCCAAGAGTGTAAGGGATGGAAGAAAGTTAAAGCGAAGGACCCACACCGGCCAGAGCCAAGCAGAGACTTTTATAGTTTGAAGGCTGTGTCTCTTCTTTTGAGGCTGGCCTCAAGTTAGCTGTGTAGCCAAGAATGGAATGGCCTTGAATTTCTGGTTTCCCTTACCCCCTGCATCCACTTCCCAAGTGCTGGGTTTGTAGGCATGCACCGCCACACCTAGTTTGTATAATACTGGGGATGGAACCCAAGGCTTTGTGCAGATCGTGCAAATGCTACAAACTGAGCTACATCCCCAGCCTGGAACTTAGCAATTTAGATGTGGAATGGACAAGGAAGGGAGGTCTTGTGCCGTTGAAATTTTAGGAAGAGGAGTTAGGACTTTGTCCCAAATGCATTGGAAGACACAGAGTGCTTTAAACATAGACTGGCCTGTTTCCCAGTTAGGGTTTTAAAAAGATTTTTTTATATTTCTAATTATGTACATTTGTGTGGGAGTATTTGTATGTGTGTCAGTTCCCCAGGAGCTGAGTTACAGGCACTTAGTGAGCCATCTTATCTAATGTGGATGCTGGGAGCTGAATTCATGTCCTCTGGGAAAAACAGCAAACACTCTTAACCAGTGAGCCATCTCTCATCATCTCCCTATAGATCTAGCTGGTGGGAAACTTGATATGTAGACCAGGCTGTCTCTGAACTCACCGAGAACCATTTGCCTCTGCCTCCTGAATTAAAAGCACAAACCACCACACCCAGCCCCTCAGGTAGGATTTTTAAAGCATCCTATCTTTTTCTGAGTGTAGAACAGACATGGAGGAGGTATCATTATGAAAAACAAAGTATTACCCCCAAGCCCCATGGAAATGTTGGTGGGCTCTGGCCAAGATTAGCAATGGTAGTGGTTAAAGTGGCTGAAGTATGGGTAGAGATGCTGATGTGTCAGGTTTGAGTGTGAACCCTGGTTGTGAGTCTAGAACTCTCCCTCTTGTCAGCTTAAAGCATCTGGGACAATGGAGCTACTGTAGATGTGGATGTCCCAGAGGGGACTGGTTTGGTGGGCCTAAAGTAATGCATGTCCAGGTAACTGGTCCTGGTGTCTAGAGCCAGGACCTGAGAATTGAAGAGGGGTAGTTTCACAGACTTGATCAAGAGTGGTCACTTAGGATCTGAGAGCAATGAAGAAAGGCTTGTTTGTGTGTGGCTGTGAGGGGAAGAATCCTGCAGGTTGCTGCGCAAGGGGAGGAGTCGATGAAGAGCAGAAAGGAAATGAAACACTGGTATGGAAGAAAGATTGACTTCCTGGATGAAGCCACTCCCACCTCCCGCCCCTTACCCGCACCCCATAGCACAGAGGCTGGGATTATCTGTTTATGTTTGTTCTGAAGGGCCAACTTTGTGGTTGTGGGTTTTTTGTGGGGTTTTTGTTGTTGTTGTATGTTTCGTTTTTGGTTTCCTCTCTCTCTTCCTTTCTTTTTTATTTTTTGAGAGGGTTTCTCTGTTTAACAGCCCTTGCTGTCCTGGAACTATCTCTGTAGACCAGGCTGGCCTCAAACTCACAGAGATCCACCTGCCTCTATGTGGGGAACCCCAGAGCAAAGTTAGCATCTCAACAGCCATCTTTCCTACTACTCTCTTAGATACTAATACACTGGTAATTTTCCATTCCCCTATGACTGTCCTCCTGTTAAACATGATGCAGCCTGACCCTGAAAGAGTCCCAGCTGCAGGCTTATGGTACAGCACGTTATCTTACAGCAGACACCCGCACTCTGCTTGGAAGGACGTTCTGCCTCCCTCACATGCTCCCTTTGGCCCATTCCCTCGTTTCTCCACTACTTGAACCCTGTGCTTATATTCAATAAACGAGACTTGATCAGAAGACTGTCTTGTCCCCATCTCTCGTGTCTCCTCATTCTCCCTCCCTCCCTCAGGGTCCCCGTCCACTGACCCCGAGGGCCGGGGCACATCTGCCTCCTGAGTGCTGGTATTACAGGCTTGCACCACCATCCCCCAGCCAGTGTGTGTGTGTGTGTGTGTGTGTTTCGAGACAAAAGTCTTTCTACATTGGTCCTGGCTGTCCTGGAACTCACTATTTGGGGTTGGCCTTGAACTCACAGTTATGTACCTGCCTCTGCCTCCTGAGCCAGTACTACAGGGAAGGAAGATAAGTGTCTGAGAAGCATCAAGGGGACATAGCCATTAGGACCAGGAGCTTGCTCCTGCCTCACAGTCATAGCACAGACACTGTCTCATTCTTGCTGTCGTAGGGCCTGATGGCCTTTGAGGACGTGGCTGTGTACTTCTCCCAGGAGGAGTGGATGTTCCTGGATGCAGCTCAGAGAGCCCTGTACCGCCATGTAATGCTGGAAAACTTCGCACTTGTAGACTCCATAGGTAAAGCCCTGAATCCTCCATTGGAAGCAAAGCAGGGACCAGGTATGGCAGCCAGCTGAGGGTACCAGGTTTGGAGGCCATTACGACTGTGCCCTCTCATCACTAACTGCCTGTGAGTGGGGCCCTCTGGCCATGGGCCATGTGAGGAAGATGGGGGCCCAGAACATATGCAATCTGATAAGGTCAACCTTTTCCTGTGTCCCTGAGGTGCTGGCTGGCTATATTCTTCTGTGACTGGGTTCTAAGCCCTTCATTTGGAGCTGCTAACCCAGTGGTTTCTTGTGGGAACCCTTGTGCTGGCCCTGTGGTGGTCCTTGTGGTATGACCTTTGGGCTATGTAGATTACATAGTTGATTATCCATGATATCCACTCCTCATCCTGCTCTCTGTTGGGGCTGGACTGTCCCGAGCTGGGGCTGGTCTCACCTGCTCCTTCTCCCTTCATAGGACTCTCTGTCTCCCGGCCTCGTGTGATCATCCAACTCCAGCGTGGTGAGGAACCCTGGGTTCCCAATAGGACAAATCCAGGCCCAGGCAGGAGAGCCCGAAGAAGACCCAGCCTTGGTAAGTTAGTTAGGCTCCGCCTAGGCCTAGGGTAAACTCACCTTGGGCTACACCTTTCTCCCCTTCCTAGTATCATGGACACTTCCCTTCCCTGTCTCTGGCCCAGCTCTCTCCCCTTTCTGAACCCTTTTCTCATCTTGTGGCCTTCCCTTAAAGGGAAAACTTTAAGGGCGCAGGCGCTGTGTCCATGCAGGAAGAGACTCTGCCTCACCCGTGCTGTGTGGCGTCACTTTCCACATCGGGCTGTCACATTTGCAGGGTCATTCCTTCTTCCCAGTGTTGTTTGAACACTTCTGGCCGGGCCGTTCCTGGCACGTGCACGCAGCACCAGCCGGTACACTGTTGTGCAATGTGGGGATAATGCCTGGGAAAGGCAGCCAGCAAACAATGTTGATGAGTGCTGCGTAGACTCAAGAGATGAACACAAGGAGAAAGCCGGCTAGCTAGCACATGCGTGCTTGAGAGAAAGGCCCCCGGGACAGGCAGTGCAGAGTCTTGTCCATGGAGGGCCATTGCTGTCTGGAGAACCAAGAGCTGTCAGCTGTCAGCTGTTCCCTGCCAACTTCTCCCAGGACCAGCCCTCGCTACCCTTTTGCACCCATTTCATAGGGTTCCCCGACTGCCCAGGCACTCTGCTGTGGTTCATTCCTGGCCAGGTGACCCAGGTAACTCTCTTTGCTCTGCCTTCAGGATCCCATTACAGTGCAAGGGGCAGACATGTGCCTAGAGATGCAGCACTTCCAAGGGCTACCTGTGACGGTTCTGATGGGTTACCTTCTAATGTCCTTCCTCCTACTGATGTCTGCCCTGATGCAAAATTCCTGGAGGGACACCAGAGTGCTTCCCCATCTCTGCAGAGAAAAGCCACAGGGGTATCTGTGATCTACTGGGAGCAGCTACTGCTAGGTCCCAGCAGCAATGACACAACTGTGAGCCTACGATTGACCTCCCCAGTGAGACTTCCTGAAGATGGTTCAAATTCAGTAAAGGCCTTCTCTGACCTCCTGGTGCCGGGAAAGCAGCCACGCGTAGCAGAGCAGCAAAAGCCAGAGATGCAGCTAACCCCTGGGAGAGTCTTCCAAAGCATCTCAGACCTCCATGGGGCAGAGGAGGGTCATGGAATGAGTGGGGCTTGGCACGAATCTCATAGTGACCCTAGTGTTCCGGAGCCCCCAATATGGGAGGAGCTAGGCGAGGCTCTCCAGGCTGGCCCAGGTCTTCTCTCTGGGGACAAACCTTTTGAATGCAGGGCATGCAACAAAGTGTTCGTGAAGAGCTCAGACCTCCTCAAGCACCTGCGCACTCATACAGGAGAACGGCCGTACGAGTGCGCCCAGTGTGGCAAGGCCTTCAGCCAGACATCACACCTGACTCAGCACCAGCGCATCCACAGTGGGGAGACGCCCTACGCATGCATGGTGTGTAGCAAGGCCTTCCGACACAGCTCCTCACTGGTGCGCCATCAGCGCATCCACACGGCCGAGAAGTCCTTCCACTGCAGCGAGTGTGGCAAGGCTTTCAGCCACGGCTCCAACCTCAGTCAGCACCGCAAGATCCACGCGGGAGGGCGGCCCTATGCCTGTGCTCAGTGTGGCCGCCGCTTCTGCCGCAACTCGCACCTCATCCAGCACAAGCGCACGCACACCGGGGAGAAACCCTATGCCTGCTCGCTCTGTGGTGCAGCCTTCAGTCAGGGCTCCTCGCTCTTTAAGCACCAACGCGTGCACACGGGAGAGAAGCCTTTCTCATGCCCACAGTGTGGCCGTGCCTTCAGCCACAGCTCCAACCTCACACAGCATCAGCTGCTGCACACTGGCGAACGACCCTTCCGCTGTGCGGACTGTGGCAAGGCTTTTGCCAAGGGCGCAGTACTACTCAGCCACCAGCGCATCCACACCGGTGAGAAGCCCTTTGTGTGCACACAGTGTGGCCGTGCCTTCCGTGAGCGCCCTGCACTCTTCCATCACCAGAGGATCCACACGGGAGAGAAGGCCCTGCGGAGGCCCAGGGGCGGCATGCACTCCCAAGCCAGGTCTCTGGGGGCATCCTTAGATGGTACATGTCCCAAGTCCACCTTAGGCCCAGCAGCGGTTCCAAAACTAGCTGAGGCCTGAGGTCAAAGCTATGCCCTTCCCCGTCTTCACTGACTCCCTGTTAAAAAGCCTGTGCCCTCAGCAAATCCACTGAGATGCCCGGTTATCTGAGGAAGACTTGCCATTCAGTTCTATTTACGTATGTGTGTTGTTCAGCTACAGTTCACACCTACACCCTGAAAGAACCCATTCTGGAGAGGCATGTACCCCCTGGGACTGGTGGTACAGACAAGGACTCCCCCCAGAATCAGTGGGTGACCCACAGACATAATCTTCATGTTGATCCCACTTGAGTATTTCCTGACTGTGGCTAGGAAAACAGGAAAAGAGCAGGCAGTTGGTACAGGTGGCTGGAGGATCCGCCTGGGCTCAAACAAGCAGCTGGAGAAATACCCCCAGGTCTCAAGGATTCAGTTTTCCTTGGTGCAGGCAAGCGTCAGGCAAATAAATGGTTTGTTTCTGAACCTCAGCTGTCTCCTATGGGAAAATGAAGAGGAAAGATTTGGGTCAATGGAGGGGAGTATTAAAAAATACATTAGCACCCAGGCATTGGTGGCACATGCCTTAAAAAAAAAAAAAAAATTAGCAACTGCATGTAGTGACACATTCCTTTAAACTCAGCACTCGAGAGGCAGAGGCAGGCAGATCTCTACAAGTTTAATGCTGGCCTGGGCTAAACAGAAACCCTGTCTCAAAACAAAAGAACTAGACTAGGCCTGTAATCACCACCTCCGATTCAAGGATAGGCCCTATCTTAGGGTTTCTCTGTGGCTTTGGAACCTGTCCTGGAACTAGCTCTTGTAGACCAGGCTGGTCTCGAACTCACAGGGATCTGCCTGCCTCTGCCTCCCGAGTGCTGGGACTAAAGGCATGTTCCACCACCACCTGGCAAGGCCCTATCTTAAGAAAAACAGCCAGGCATTGGTGGCACACACCTTTGATCCCAGCATTTCAGAGGCAAAGGCAGATGGATCTCTAAGTTTGAGGCCAGCCTGCTCTACAGAGTGAGTTCCAGAACAATCAAGAAGGCTACACAGAGAGCCCTGTCTTGAAAAAAGAAAACAAAAAGTTGAGTTGATATACCTTGACATTTTTAACATCTGTATGAACAGTAATGCAGAAAGTATTAAATGGATGCACACAGACATGCCATTGGATGTCAGCACAGAGATTTTGGGGATTTGGCTTTAATCTGGGTTCTCAGAGAAGCTAAAGGATAGAGATACAGTTTGTCTGCAGCTCAGTGTAGGATAGGCTCATCTGTATCCCTTTGGTGGCCACAGGTGGTTGGGGGAAGCCTGGAGACCTGGGCAGAGTCGGACTGCCCCCAGAGCAGCAGTTCTGATGCAGATGGGCCTCTGTGGATCAGACTGTGGGAGGGGAAAGGGCAGGAAGACGGAGGCAGTGCTGTGATGGTGTCTGCTATTGTGAGCAAAGTCGACTCCCACCCAGTGGGAACTGCAACGCCATCACCTCAAGAATCTTGCAGGTATGGCGGTGCCTACCTGTAACCCTAGCACTTGGGAGGCTGAGACTGGAGGATCTGGAGTTAAAAAACCAGACTTGACTGCACAGCAAGCTTGAGGCCAGTGAAGGGCTACGGAGACAGTGTGAGAAAAAAAAAGAAAAAAGGTAAAATGTGTTGACAGCTTTAATGCCAGTACTCAAGAGACAAAGACAAGCAGGTCTACATAGGAAGGTCCGGAGCAGCTGGAGCTACATAGTGAGACCTTGCCTCAAAAAACCCCAAGCCGTCTTGCAGCTATCTTCTATACCTTAGACTCCCAATGGAATCAGACATATCTGTCCACTAACCCTCATTAGTTCATGCAAGGAGGGGCGTTGTGCAGAACCTAGCTGCCCAAGACCTTATAAGGGCAAGTTCTCTGTGATAGGTCTCCTGATACCTGGTAGGCCTACTCAGCTCTTGGTTGGACCTGTGTAATGCCAGGAGGGCTCAGAACCAGATACCTATTGAGCAAATGAGTTCTCCAATAGTCACAGGAACCCTGAAGCAGCCTTCCTGAGCCTTCCTGGCCCCTCAGACTGGGATCAGTACCATCTTCTTATCCTCACCAGCTTCCTCTGCTGTGTCCCGACTGCCCCTTAGTTCTACCCTCCTTGCATCTACTTCCAGTACCAAGAACTGTTCTGTGTTCCCCTACATCTGGTCCTCCTCAGCAACTATGGCTATATTGGTTGGCCCCTCTTAACAGGCTGACTGTAAAACACGCCCTGAGATTTTTCTAAGTCAAACTGTTAAGCTACGTTTGGTAGCACCTGGCTATACTCACAGCACGGGGGAAAACTGAAACTGGAGGGTGGAGAGGCAGAGACCAAAGTAGGATGTAGAAACCCTGTCCCCCCCCCCAAAAAAAATGCCCAAGGAGGTGGTGTCCAACACCTTTAATCCCAGCACCAGCACCGGGAAGGAAGGCAGAGGTACGCAGATCTTTGTGAGTTTGAGGACAGCCTGGTCTACAGAGAACGTTCCACGACAGCCACAGCTGGAAAAATCAAAGAGACAAAAGGAAAGGAAAAAACCAAAACAAGAGACAACCAAACACATGCACCACTCTTAGCTCACATGAGTCTACAGGTAACAACGGAGGGATACAAATGAACTCGCACTTGGAAGCCCAGAGTAGATGAGTCACCCCTGACTCAGGGAAACCGAACTCTGAGCAGACACTGGGGGCTACCTCATGACTTCCCTGGGCAGATATAAACCCACACTCCCCAACTGGGGAGAGAGAAAACACAAAGCAAAGATTTGTTTATTGGGAACATGGCTGATTGAAGATTCCCGACTCTAATCAGTTTTTTACCTTAAAATTCAGCTTGTTTATTTGTTTCTGAGACAGGGTAGCCCTGCCTGACCTGGAACTCACTCTGTAGACCAGGCTGGCCATGAACTCATGGAGATCCACCTGCCTCTGCCTCCCGAGTGCTGGGATTAAAGGTTTGTGTACCACTGCCCCATCTAAAATTCAGCATTTCAAAGATTACACACAGTTGGGCAGGAAGGACTGGTAACCCCCACTCCAGCCCCAAGAGAAAACATCAATCCCCCAGCATCAGACCTAGCTATTTGCTCTATAATTTCTATTTCACTACCCTAAAGGCAAGGTTAGTAGGTTGCCATAGGCCCTATGTTTTAAGATGGCTGAGAAGCTAATCAGGGGAACGTAGGTCCTGTCTCAAAAAAAAAAAAAATTTTTTTTTAATGATTGCAGTAGCCAACCCAATATACCCATAGTAACTAAGGGAGTTGGGGTTAGCTCAATGGTTGTTTACCTGGTAAACATTCGGCTCTAGATTTAAAGCCCAGGTATACTGAAAGGATGGAAAGTACAGCTTAACTCTAATGACCACTAAAAGTTAAAAATTTAAAAAAGTCCATCAGCATGCATTTGAAAATCACCCTAGATGCATGCAAAGCTCAGAAAAAAAAAAAAACACATGAAATAGATTGATCACGATGACTGGTTTCTGGATATTATTATTATTATTATTCATATCACCTAGTTTCTGAAGAATGTTGTTATCAGCAACAACAGTCTGGGAACTGTTATGGGTCATCCTGTCCACAAAGAAAATTAATAACTAAAAGGCGGGACTCATAACAAAAAGGGAAAGACAGAGAAAACAAGAGCCTCTGCCAATAGATATAGATAACTCCCTGACTGGAGAGAACATTCTCCCAGCCACTCAAGGACAAGGCCACTGAGCCCACTGATTCTTGAGAAAGAAAATCCCATGACCTTGCTTTTAGGCCTAATGAAAATAACAGGCTAGCTTTGAAACTGGCCTTGTTTGCTTTGATGTAAATCCTATAAAAGCTGTCTCAATTCTGCCCTCGAGGTCCTCAGTCCTCTACCCCTGCGTGGCGTATGACTGTGGACCCCAGTGCACTTGGAATAAAAACTCCTCTTGCCATTTGCATCAAGACCGCTTCTCGTGAGTGATTTGGGGGTGTCGCCTTTCCTGTGTGAGGGTGTGAAGGTCCACGCTCTGTGGGTCTAACAATACCACAAGATTCAACAGAGTGAAGGCCTGGGAGTTAGCTAACCTGAGAGAGGCACCCTAGAACAGAGGGCTTCCAGGGGACAGCTGCCTGGGGAGCCCATTGAGTGGGTGTGAGAGCTGTGTCCAGAGAATCTGTAAAAGGCCTCATCTCCCAAGATAGAGTTTGAAAGACCCTCAGAGCGTGGACCTTCATGCTCCGACTCAGGAAAGGCAACATCCCAAATCACTCACGAGAAGCGGTCTTGATGCAAACTGCATGAGGAATTTTTATTCCAAGTGCACTGGGGTCCACAGTCATGCGCCACACAGGGGTAGAGGACTGAGGTCCCTGAGTACAGAATTGAGACAGCTTTTATAGGATTTACATCAAAGCCTGAACATTGTAAACCAATCATCTCATAGCATCAAGAGCCCACACGATGAGGGCCAATCAATTTAAACCATTTTATAGTTTTTAGACCAATCATTTTAAATCATCCAAGCCCGTGCTTTATAGACCAATCAGTTTTCTATGGCCCCGAAGGTCTGCATTTGCTCCTAGGTGGGGTGACAAATGGCAGTTAGGATAGATCACTGAGGTGGAGTTTCACAAGCAGTTTACAAAGTCAGATAAGCGGCAAGGAGCGTGACCTTTCGCCTATTTACTGGCAGAGGACAGGGTCTGGGATTTGAGGTATTTAGGGCTTTTTAGATAGTATTTTTAAACGTCTAGCTTCCTGGAGAGTCATTGGAGAGTTAGGCTGTATTTTCCATCCTTTCAAGTTCGGCTGGTAAGCCGAGTTGACAAATTTTACCCACACAACTGCTCAAGAGTTTCAGATGTTCAGAACTGCTGCTCACCACTAGCAGCTGGCAGCCAAAGGGGGGCGGGGAGAGCGGGGAGTCCCAGCAATCAGAAGAAACCAGAATAGACAGATCCACTTCAGGACTAAATGATTCTATCATGGTTCAGACTCTTGGCATGTGGAAACAAAACTAACCATCTCCAAATAAATTTAGCAGCCATTGATTGCTGCTTGTGGTGGCAAACACCTTTAATCTCAGCAATCCGGGAGGCAGAGGCTGGAGGATCTCTCAGTAAGCACCGGGTCAGCATGGTTTACATATACATAGTACATCTACGTATACATATAGGACAGCTGAAGCCTTTTTTTTTTTTTTTGAGACCCTGTTCCCCCCACACAACAAGCAAGCAAACAAACAATGCCATTAACTTTATTTTTAAAAAGCCTTTTTCCAAAAAAGGCTTTGGGGGGAAAAAAAAATCAACATGGGCCACCAATTAAAGGCTGAGTGTGTCTTCTCATAATCTCAGACAGAACCCTCCATCTTTATTAGGAGTACTGTTATCTAAAGACAGTTAGTGCGGGGATAATCACAAGGTTACCTCCTCTGAATGCTTGCCCACCCACGGGCGTATTGCCCCCACAATATCCATGGAGCTTAACGGGGTATAACAAAGGCCATACTGGGTCTTCCGGGATCGGCTGGAACCGGCACCTAGGTCCTCTCTCCGCTGTAGGGAGACGCTTACAGTGTTGCCTTGGGAACAGCAAGAGGAGCCCTAGCTGCTACCTAGGAGACGTGGAGTGATGCTCCCTTCTTGTAGCCGAACGCCAACTCTAATTGGTCAGGACACCTCATCAGCCAATAGAAACCAGGTCCGCTGTACACATGCGCAAGGAGGCTAACCCGCCGTCCGGGCTGGAGTGCAAAGGAAGAACGGTTGTCAAGCCAAAAGAGGGGACCCCCGGAAATCTGCGACGACACCGCAGGCTCAAGAAGAGCAACGAGGCAGATCGCGCGTAAGAGGCCCTGGAAACGCGCTGTCGTCCTTGCTGAGGCTCATGGGAGACGTAGTCCGTGCGGAGGGGGCCGTGCCTGTGGGGCAGGTGCAGGATTGGCCAGACCGGTAGGGTAACGCGCAAGGCGGTGCATCCTGCGAGTGGCGGTGGGGCGCGCGGTGTAGCTTCCCTTCCAGCAAAGTGCCCCAGCGGACGCCAGGAGGCGTCAGAGGTGAGCGCACTCATGGCGCGGCGAGCGCAGCATCTCCAAGAGCGCCCCCCATCCTTTGAACCCAGAACATAGGATCCCTTCCTTCTGAAAGGGTTCTTCTGTGAGCTGCCTTGTGGATGCTGGGAAATGAACCCTGGTCCCCTGAAAGAGCAGCCAAGCGCTCTTAACCACTAAGCCATTTCTTCAGCCCCTCTAAGGTTCTTCTGGACAGGACAGGTGTCCCAGGAGAGCCGGTTTCAACCCAGAACCTCTTAAGGACTGGGGCACAGGTTCCAGTTTACCACTCCACACAATACACTGCTATTTGGTTTGGTTTTACCTGGGAGTTTCATGGGCGTAGACTCAGGCAGTGTGTGGCATCCACGGTTAATGCTTTTGTCAGCGAGCAGTATCACCAAGCCCATATAGGCCTCTGGGAGTGCACCCAGGCTTTCAGCTCTGTTCCAGCTCTGTACTCGGACTCCAGAGCCACCTCTTCAGATGGCACAGCCTGATCTGCCTTCTGACTGAAGCCCCCAGGGTCACCCCGAATGCCGGTTCTGTCCCCTCCTGATTCTTTGTCTGCTGGGGACGCCACAGTCGTCCTCTGCTGTACCCAAATGTTTGAGCCAGCCATTTGCAGTTTCCTAGAAGGTCCTTGGACACCTTCCACCCAGGCATTTATCATCAAGGCATCCTCCAGGTCTCAACTGCTCTGAGCTTGCACCTCCTGTGACCTTCCTTGAAGCACTCGGGGTTCTATTTCCTGGCACCTAGGAGAAGTCTGGTGTGTGCTTTTGGCCTTAGATGACAGATGACACTCTGGTTCCTCCTTTTCTGTAGGTCCCTCTTGACAGCTCCAAAAAGACCCTTCAAAACAAGAATGCCATCTCCTCTGGGGTCCCCACACCTATCCCTCAGGGACTCCAAGACCACTATTGAGGAGACTGAGGCGGCACGACTCAGATTCCGGGGTTTCTGCTATGAGAAGGTAGAGGGGCCCCGAGAGGCCCTGTCCGGCCTTCGAGAGTTGTGTCACCAATGGCTGCAGCCTGAGTCCCGCTCCAAAGAGCAGATGATAGAATTGCTGGTTTTGGAGCAGTTCCTTGGTGTGTTGCCCTCTGAGATCCAGGCCTGGGTACGGGGGCAGCGACCAGGAAGCCCTCAGGATGCTGCGGTCCTGGTTGAGGGGCTGCAACATGATCCTGGGCAGCTGCTGGGCTGGGTGAGTGCAATGACATTAGCTTCTTAGAGGGATGGACTGAAGGTAGAGCCCCTGTGACACACTTCTCTTCAGATCACAGCCCACATCCTGAAGCCAAAGATGCTTCTTACAGTCCAGCAGACAGAGGAATCTTCAGGGAGCCACCATGTCTCAGTTGCAATGGAGTCCTCTGAGGCAGGCCCTTCAGAGTTACTACGGAATTCTGGGATAGACAGATCTACCCAGATCAATTGCAGTGTGAAGGAAGAAGCCAATGCTGATGGGCAGGAGATGGGTAAGGGGATACATCAGAATTTCAAATCTCTCTCTCTCTCTCTCTCTCTCTCTCTCTCTCTCTCTCTCTCTGTGTGTGTGTGTGTGTGTGTGTGTGTGTGTGTGTTGGTAGTGGGGTATCCTACAAGAGGTTGTGTCAGGGCTAAGACTCCTAAAATAAGTCTGGATGTCCCCAGCTGGGAGAGGGACCCTGGAGAGATTACAAAACTGGAATCCTGTGAAGCCACAAGACCCATGTCATGTGGCAGAGGCAAGCCAAGGCCATTGCAGTAATCACAGCTTGATACTCCTTCCCATCTCTTGTCTTTCTCAGTCCCAAGCCCCCTCCTTCTAGCCCAGGCCCCTGGGGAACATGTTGAACACCAGGAACCAGCCTCCACATCCTCCTACCCAGAAAGGATCCAGGTAAGCAGCCTGCAGCAGGAAAGGCAGGCCTTGGGGGTGTCTCTGTTGGTTGTATTCTGCCTTGTGGTTTTGTAAGATCTGCTGCCATGTGGTTTTGCTTTTGTTTTGTTTTACTATTTCTGAGTAGTAAATGCCTTCCCTTCCAGCAGGTTCTGAGAGCTGGACTAGACTGGTAGTGTCTAATTGGAAAAGACTTAGGCCTCAGGTCCCAGGCCTGGTCCAGAGCAGCTAGAACTGGTGGGCATGGCTTCCTCACTCCAGAGAAGCCAGTTACTGGAAAGGCTTGCAATACCTGGAGGCCATCGGCCAGCTGTTATGTGTGCAGGTAGAGAGGTGACTGCCACAGCAGGGTTCCTGCATCCCTGAGAGCAAATCAAGATGCTCTCCCCGAATATGCCTCAAGTCCCTTCTACTGCCCTTCTCAAAGTACAGTGACCTGGAACCTTAGTTTAAAGCCCCTGCTACCTGAGTGTGTGCAGTTAATGCGGAGAGGGAGGGATCTTATCTTTTCCAGGTCCCTTCCGTCCCTGAGCCCCTGCACTTGGGAGCTCCCTTCCTCAGTGGACTGTCTAGTTAAGGTGTACCTCAAGGTTAAGAAACCCCTCTGGGATGCCTCTCTGGTGTCCTCATCCAGTCAGCATGTCCTCTAGATGTAGCTGTCCGCTTCCCTTTTCTCCAGATTGGCTTTGGCTTATCCTTTGGGTTATTATTATTATTATTATTATTATTATTATTATTATTATTTTCCTAACCTATCAAAGACCTATATGGCAGATCTTAGGGCAAGGAGTGGGGTGGATATCTTACACCAGGAATTCTTTCTTGGGAAGGCCAGTATAGGTAGTCTTCTGTCCTGACACCAAATTTACCCTCTTCAGACCTTGCCTGAACCAGCTGCAAAATCTCTGGAGCTTTCTCCATCACCGTTGCCTCCTCACCTCATCCCGGTCCTGAAGTTCCTCATTATTCTTAAGCTTAGCGTCGCCCCTCCTCCCCAACCTTTTTGGTTTTGTTTTGTTTTGAAACAGCACCTCCCTACACAGCCCTGGCTGTCTTTGAACTGTAGCCCAGGCTGGCCTTGAACTGAGCACTGGGATCAAAAGTGTGCCCCACCATGCCTGGCTCCTTAATCCCCTTTCTCAAAAATAAAATTAAATAAATAAAAGTTTTGGGGATGTAGCTCAGTTGGTAGAGGGCTTGCCTAGCATGCACGAGGTCCTAGGTTCTATCCCCATCACTACACAAACTGGCATGGTACCGCTCACCTGTAATCCCAGAACTCAGGAGGTAGGGACAGGAAAATCAGAAGTTTAAAGTCATCCTCAGCTCCATAGTGAGTCTGAGCCAGCCTGGGCTACACACCCCAATAAAGGCCAAAAGAAAAACATTTCTCACCCCCAGGGAGTCTTGAAAAAGGTGGCCGAATCCCAGGTGGTCTCCTGGCCTCTTACTGTCCTTCCAGACAAGGATGGGGACAGCCATGGTGTCTGTGGAAAACCCACCCACAGTTTCAGTCCTTCTCGCCACTGAGAAGACAGTGGACAGATGAAAGCTGACCCAGGCCTCACAAATGCCAGTTCTGACTTGGTCTCTAGCGTGCTACAGATGAAGATTGGGTGCCCCGCCACCCACTGGGTGGTGGGTAGGGATGTGAGGCTGGGTGGGAGAGGCAGTAACTGGTTGCATCCTTGCAGCAGGAGCGGGGCCCGTTGGACTCATCACAAAAGGAGCTGTACTGGGGCGTGATGCTGGAGAAGTATGGCACACTGGTGTCCCAGGGTGAGGTTCTACTACCCCCTGTGCCCTGTCTTCCCTGCCCCCTCCTTCACGTGCCTCCCTGCATGTGCTGGACCCCCACGGGGCCCCCAGTGCAGCGGCCCAGCATCTGGCTGCATCTCTCTCCCACCAGAAGGTACCTACCCGCACACTTCTGTGCAAGCCCCCGTGTGACCGAGCTCCCACATGAACTTCTCCCCAACCCAGCAAGCCTGCCGCTGCTAGAGCCAAATATACATGTTGAGTCTGAGCTGAGGCCAAAACAGGAGACCCCACATGCAGGACCGGAGTCCCTCAGGAGCCATCTCCCCGAAGTGGGAGCCATTGCAGGTCCAGAGCTAGTTCAAGCCTGCACATCCTCTCCAAGTGAGAGCCAGAGCCTTTGCAAGGACCCTTCAGGCCTGTCTCCCACACCACTGCTTGAAGCCCCTGCTAGGCCTACACCTCGGAAGCTGTACACTTGTGAGCAGTGCGGCCGCAGCTTCGATTGGAAGTCCCTTTTTATCATTCACCATCGCACACACCTGGGTGAGTCAGGCCTGGAAAGGCCACCACAGGTGTCCCGGGAGCCGGCCATTCGGCACTCCACTGGCCTTCCTGGCTATGTGTGCGTGGAGTGTGGGCGCAGCTTCAGCTGGAAGTCACAGCTTGTCATTCACCGCAAGAGCCATGTAGGCCAGCGGCGACACTTCTGCCGGGACTGTGGGTGCGGCTTTGACTGGAAGTTTCAGTTGGTCATTCATAGGAAGATCCACCAGCCAGAGGGCCCATGAGCAACTGGAGAAAGCTCTCACCTTGGGAGGCCCAGCCCCAATTCAGCACTCCAGGCATCTGCTCCAGCTAAGAGGAGGCTCTGGGGCACCTCAAGTGTGTCAGGGACCCCAAGAAGATCCCCTACTGCTGTCCCCTACTGCCCCTGATTTGTTGAGCAAGGTCTGGGCTGGACTGTACTGATCCATGGCTGGGATCCGACTTGTACAGGGGAAGACGCTCCCTGCTTCGGGATGCTCAGAAATCGCCTTAGGCTCCTCCTTGCAATGGCTGAGCAAGAGGTGTATGGAAGGTACAGGAAACCACAAGCTGCCTTGCATGTGACCCTCAACTAACGTGCTTAAGTTTTAACCTAATGTCTGTAACTAGAATTTCTGAATAAGAATTCTGACTTCTGGCTTCCACTGATCAAAAAGGCAGCCTTGGATGCTGGCTTATCAGCCACTCAAGCCACCGGGCAGCCAAGCATAGGTCTAGTCAATCACTTTGTTCCTTCAGCCTCCCTAGTTCCTTGGCTGCAGGCACTGCTCACCACTTCCCTGGCCTTTGAATCCCTGAACCCGGACTTGGACGAACACTAAGGGCCATGCCTGCCTGCAAGTCAGACCTACACCCCACACAACCAGTTCATCATTAAACTGGAGAGCAAAGAGCCTTTCCCTGCCGCCCAGAGAACTGTGACCCTCTGGACAGTCACCCACAACTTGTCAGTGCATGGTGTCCTATTAACTCTGCCTGTAAACAAGGTGGCTCCAAACAGGTTTATTTACTAATTGTTCCAACATGGAAACTCTGAAATGTATCTCACTAGATCCAAGGCATTAGTAGGTGGCAGGGTACCTGTGGGAGGTGCAGAAGCCCATGACCTATGGCCTCTTTTTCCATCTTCAGCAGTGGGCAGTTATTTATCTTGGTTCATTGACTCTTCACACTTAAAAGGCCTTTTGTGGTGGCGTGGAGCCCTTACATGTTCCTGGGTGACCACCATCTTAAGAGCAGATGATGAGGCAGGAGATTTTATTTTGTTTGAGAAGGGGTCTCCTCTTGTAGCCTAGGCAGGCCTCTAACTGATGATCCTCCTGCCTCTGCTTCCTGGAACTACAGGCTTGTACCACCGAGCCCAGGTTGGTATTTTTAAATTCCCTGTATGTGTGTTTGAGATAGTGTCACAGTAATGTCCAGGCTGACCTCAAACTCAGCCTCCTGAGTGCTGGGATTAAAGGTGCACACCACCAGGCCAGGCTAAGCCATTAAATACTTTTCATTTTAAAACTTAGAAGTATAGAGCAGGATTTGGGGTCGTAGGCAGATCTCTGTTAGTTGGAGGTCAGGCTAGTTTCCATAGTGTGTTCCAGGACAGGCAGGGACCGTGTAGAGATCTTGTCTCAGAAATAAGTAAATAAATAAGCAAATAAATTCTAGACATGGGCATATCAAAGTGTCTTCTAGAAACTTGAGTTTTCAACACTGTCTATCCTTCTTGCTTACCATTCTCCAGTTCTCTCTCTGTCCCTCCCTCCCTCCCTCCCTCTCTCTCTCTCTCTCTCTCTCTCTCTCTCTGTGTGTGTGTGTGTGTGTGTGCACTTGCGTGCTGGAATTTGAACTCTGGTCCTCATGACTTCACATCAAGCGCTTTTAACTGCTGAGCCGTCGTTCCAGTCCCATTGGGCAGAGCATTATTGAAATGTTAGCTCCGAGTGCCTCCTACTGCTCTCATGTGCCTCTTCCTTCTTGCCCACAAGGATTTACGCCCTCCCTGTTCCTGCACCGTCATGCATGGTTTGAATCTTAATGTGAAGGCTTGCCCGTTCATTATATTTGTCCTAGACAACGGAAGAACAGTGTCAGTCCCTAGAGCAAGCGCCAAAATGGCTCTTCACTTTGTTTTTGTTTTTGTTTTTGTTTTGTTTTGTTTTGAGGGGAGCTGTAAGGATCTCTCCATACAGCTCTTTTCTTCTTTGTTTTGTTTTCGTTTTTGTTTTGAGACAGGGTTTCCCGGTTTCTCTGTGGAACAGCCTGGCTGCCCTGGAACTCACTCAGTAGACCAGGCTGGCCTTGAACTCACAGCAATCCTCCTGCCTCCGCCTCCCTACTGCTGGGATTAAAGGTGTGCGCCACCACTGCCTGGCTTGCTCCAGGTTCTTTTCATGTGTGTGTGTGATCCATATGCAGTCACAGTGTCCACAGAGGCCATAAGACAGAATAAAATCCCCTGGAAACGAGCAACAGGTGGTTGTGAGGCACCATTTTGGAGCTAGGAACTGAACCAAGGTCCCCTGCAAGGTTAGCAAACGCTGACCATAACCACTCTAGCCCCCTGCCGTAAGATCTTGACCCTGGGTGGCTTTTTTTCTCTTGTTTTGTTGACAGAGTTTCTCTGTGTATCCCTGGCTGTCCTGGAACTCACTCTGTAGACCAGGCTGGCCTTGAACTCAAGATCTACTGCCTCTGCCTCCCAAGTGCCAGGATTAAAGATGTGTGCCACCACCGCCCAGTTCCTTAGTGGCATCTTAGTCACAGATGTGTGCCCTACTACACTTGACCCTCTTTATGTTTTCTTGTTGTTTTGAAGGTTTGTGGGGTTTTTCTGGGTTTTTTTTTTTTTGTTTTGTTTTGTTTTGTTTTCTTTTGTTTTTTTGTTTGTTTGTTTTTCTTGACAAGAATTCTTGTAGCCCAGGTCCTCTCCTGCCTACACCTTCTGGATGCTGGGATCACAGGTGTATGCCACCATACCTAGCTCACAGCTGTCCCTCCACACTTACAAACATGTCAGGCTACTGCCACTCATCTCTTCCTTGGGCTAAGGTGGGCAAAGACTGGGGAGAAGGTGTCTTCCTTCACTAGTCCAGCTGTTGTGAGTCTCCACAGAGTCTTCCTGTGATCTTATCCAATCCTCAAGATGGCCCCACCTTTCCCTTCTTCCCTGCTTCCGTTTTTCCTTCCCAATACCATCCAACTGCCACTCAGGCACACATCCAGGACTTTGGGTTGGTCCACCCCAAAACCTACCCCATCTATGGTCTTCCGGAGCATGTCCTAACCATAGCTGCAGCATCTCCATGACTCCAAGCAACAGAATAGATGTACATCAGTAAGCGTACAGAATTGTTGGTGTACCAGAAGTCAGAGGCCTTGAGCCTGACCAACAACTCACTACACAGTATTTGCAAGTAAAGTTGTTTGGACAAAAGGGTCTACTCTGTGACACACTATAGCTCCCAAATCTACTAAAAGGAAGAGGAGATAGAGAGGTGGGAAAGATAGGGGAGTGAAGTGTGTGTGTGTGTGTGTGTGTGTGTGTGTGTGTGTGTGTGTATGCTTGTTTCTTTTGTTTTGCTTTTTGTTGCTCTGTGGGTTTTGTTTTAAATTAATTTTTTTGGTCTTTTTTAAGATTTCCTTTTGGGAGGGACAATACAAGGATGAAGGGTAGACACAGAGATACTGGGAAATGAGTGGGATTGGGGTGCATGATATGAAATTCCCAAAAAAAACCAATAAAAATATTTAAAAAAAATATGAGGGGGGGAGGGGGAAGCTTCAGGGGATGGAGCAATGGCTCAGCAGTTAAGAGCACTGTCTACTCTTCCAGAGGACCTGGGTTCAATTCTCAACCAACTCCACGACGGCTCACAACTGTCTGTAACTCCAGCTCCAGGGCATCTGACACCCCCTTCTGGCCTTTGTGCACATTATACAGTCATGTATGCTGGCAAAACACCCGTAAAATAAATATTAAAAAGGAAAGCAGGCGGTGGCACACGCCTTTAGTCCCAGCACTACTAGAGAGCCAGAGGCAGGCGGATCTCTGTGAGTTTGAAGCCAGCCTGGTCCACAGAGTGAGTTTCAGGGTAGCAGGGCTATCCTGAGAGAGAGACAGAGAAGCCCTGTCTCAAAAAAGAAAACAGAAGAAAAAGAAAGAAAGAAATGACAAGAAAAGGGGAACAGTCTTCACCATGTAAGACATGTAAGAAGACGCCCATCCGCCCATCCGTGAGACGAGAAGGTCCGCAGAGCCTGGCCGTACCCTCATTGTAACTGTGAACTTCGAGCCTCCGTAGCTAAGAAAGAAATCTTTGTTGCCTTCTTTTTTTTTTTTTTTTTTTTTTTTTTTTTAAGGAAGAGAGGGTGGTGTGTTGGGGCTACAGCACATTTGAAGAGTGTACTGGCTAGTTTTATGTCAGCTTGATCCAAGCTGTAGTCATCTGACAGAAAGGAAACTCACCTTAAAAAAAAAAATGCCTCCATAAGATTGGGCTATAAAGCCTATAGAGCATTTTCTTAACTAGTGTTTGATGAGGGAGGGCTCAACCCCATGCAGGCAGTGGTCCTGGGCTGGTGGTCCTGAGTTCTGAGCAAGCCTGTAGCCAGCATTCCTCTATGACCTCTGCACCAGCTCCTCCTTCCAGATCCTTGCCTTAAAGGCGGGGTTGTAACGAGTTCACTAGACCCAAGATAAATGAAAAATGGGTGTTTTATTGGGGAACAACTTACACAGATAATAATAAAAAACCACCACAACCTTACTCTGCCCTTCCAGTCCCATCCTCGACCCGAGAGAGAGAGAGAGAGAGAGAGAGAGAGAGAGAGAGAGAGAGACAGAGAGACAGAGAGAGAGAGATACAGTGAGAGCCCCCCCCAAAGGGTGTGGTCACTGACACAAATACCCTGGCCAGGCTAGCCACCTCTATACTGCCTGGTTTGAATTCCTGCATCAGGCTTCCTGTAATGGATTGTGACTTGGGTTATGTAAACCAAATAAACCCTTTCATCCTCAAGTTGCTTTTGGCCATCGTGCTTCATTACAGCAAAAATAACCTAAGTAGCAGTGTTCTGCCTATATGCCAAGAAGTTCAGCATCTTATTTACAGCCTTCAGGGGGAAATGGGACAGAATCAGCCAGAAGCAAAGCAGGCGAGGCTGCACAAAAGGAACACAGAATATTTCAAGTGTGGGACATAGAACCATAGCCCCTTAGGAGAGAAGAGTTGAGGTCCCAGGATTCAAACTAACAGCTCCCCTCAAGGCCTTGGCCCCAGG